CCCATAAGAAGCCCGCCTAGCTAGGCGTTCTTCAGTTCGATTAGCTCCAAATCTGTTCAATGTATCTCTCACATTCCTCCTCCCGATACATCCCTGCCTTCTTACCTCTCACCCAAGGACAAGCTCATACCACTATTGCTTAAGCTCATAAGGGAGCTCGACAGCTCCGTGGCCCGCCGTCCCCGTGCTAAGCGCCCCGGGGCATGGTGGCCGAGCTCCGCGTTCTTCCGTGTAAACCCTAGCGCTAAACTCATGCGTCGCAGGACTCGAGCGCTACGGCGCCGCCTCCCACTTCGTCCTCTTCTCCCTCGCGTCACAACTCACAATTTTAGGAAACGTAGGGGCCACTATAGGAGCACCCAAATTCATCCATATAGAAACGTTTCTACTCTATTTTTTCCCCCGGCCGATGGCTGGGCCAAGTACTGGTGGATTAAATCAAGCTAAACTGGGTAATGCTCCCAGAATAACTCCAGGTTTAATTGTGGGGTCCCCGGCTCCAACCATTCTCAGACTGTTGTAATAATAATTTTGTTGTTTAAAAAAGTGAGAGAAAAAAAAAACTTGAAGCCTCCGATCTTTTTTTTTTTTTTTTTTAAGAGCAGCCGATGCCGTGTGATCCAGGCACTCCGGCCTGGTTCAGTTGGGAAAAAAAAAAAAAAAAAAAAAAAAAAAAAAAAAAAAAAAAAAAATCCTTACTCAGTTGGTAACTTGGTATGTTCTTGAATAACCTTGAACTGGTGAGATACAGACCAGTTCTCAGGACAGGCCCTGTGTTCGAATCTGGATGAGACTCCATCAATGAAGGTGGAAACTCGAAGCCTCCTTTTTCTTTTCTTTTTTTTTTCTTTTTTTTTTGAAGCCCAGGGTGTTGTAGAGGCCAAGGACCAGACCCACGGTGATTGCTGGCAGCAGCAGCCCATGGTTGTCCTGACAGGATAGGCCACCTACCCTACCCATCCCCACGTTAATACTCCCAGCGCACCCCCTGTCCCTACTATCCTACCTCAGTGTGACCAGCACTCAGGACCATCACCCTACGTAAGAATGCAGTATAGCACATTCTTTGGAGGCCTCCACCGCATTCATAGGAGGATGGGCACCACCCGAGCCAAAAAAAACAGATTCGGCAAAGCCTGGGGCGTAGATCCTTTCCTCCTCAGCAAAAAGAGGCTCCGAGGTAGTGGTAGTTTAAGCCCAACCAATTTCCTTCTATTATCGTCAAGCATCACAGCATCGCGGTGAGCCCTGTAGCAGCCACACTGTGCTCACGAGAGAACATGTGGGGGGCGGCACTCGACCTGCAGGTGGGCTATACCGGCCAGGGGTCAGGGACCATGCCAACTGGTCCATTCTCTGTGCCTCCCCTCCGGTCCCCTCCCCTGACAAACATCAGCAGTCCCTACTTCATGCCCATTATTTTTTTTTGGGGGGGAGGGGGGGCAACGGGCTACCCCTCGATGCCGGACACCAAGTATGCCCGGGAAGGTACATGAGGCCAATCCGTGACCTCCTGAATGCCACTTGTGGGCCTTTTCTTATTTTAACGGCTATGGCGTTGATATACCATGATCTCCAAACTGAACAGCCCCAGGTAAATTCAGAGTTATTTACTCATCTGAGTTGATTGGAATTTGAACTGTGGTCTGAATTTCAACGGTTCACAGGCCCGGTGTACAACCTGAGCTGGTGGTGTTTTTTTGTGTTATTTGCACACGCTGGGATTTCAATTATAAGTAGGCCCAGTGCCCAAGGCTATACACCAATGAAGTACAAAATGTACCAATTAGCCGGAACCAAAAGGCCTCATCCCTCATTGACTACAACAGGGGCAGCATAAGGGGCCAACCGCCGCAGTTGCTCTCTCAACACTTTCCCCTGCCACCCATTCCAAGATTAACACCAGTCTGTGTAATCGGGTACAAAGGCTCTGTTCATCCATTTTCCTTAGCATGGTGCCGAACTGTTTTCTGCAACCGCGCGACTTTCTGCACGAAGCGGCTTTCGGGGGTTGAGACGGGAAGGTGGGGTGAAGCGCATGGGTAAGGGTCAGCTGGGCAAATTGCATGAATACCCTCGCTTCTTTCTTTTTGGCTTTCGGCACCAGGGCCGGGAAAGTCCCGCGCAGACATTTGGGTGACCGTGCCTTAGTAAGCGTGATGAATAACGGTTGCCATAGCTTCTTTCTTGTTTTGCTGCGGGAAATGGGAATTTTGGCGCGATTAGCGCGCGGGAATGTCGTTTTTCAAATTTTCAACTGATGTCAAGCCCCAACGGGCTCTCGGAATTGTTTTTCAATCGTTTCGGAATTTCTTTTTGCGATTAGGACTTAGACTACGAATTTAGGTACTCTGAATTTTGCTGCGTCGCGCTTCTTGCTTGCGCACATTTTGCCACGCTAGGAACTGGCTCTGACTGGACCGCGCCCTTAATCTTGTGTGTAACTTCAATTTTGGCGGGTGCAATTGTAACTGTATTTCTCTTCTTCTTGATTCTCACAAACGCGATTAGTTTGCTCTCTATGAACTTCGAGTTTAGCGCGATCAGTGAACTTCGGCTAACGAGTCAACTTGAGAGGTGAGTCGACTGGAGAGTTGGGCGATCCGACGAGCTGGTGCCGAGCATGCGGGGTTGACGTGTGGCGCACGGGCGAACCTGGCTTGCATGCTTGGACCAAGCGGGGTGACAACTCTGGGTTGATGCACGGCGACGAACTGTCCACATCGGGAAGTGGTGTAGAGAGAGAAAGATAGAGAGAGAACAGATGTGTGAGGGATGCCTGGGATGGTGTCTTTCTTCCAACCTTCTGTATAAATTTTGATTCCAACGTTGGTCAATTTTGTTGCGGCGATCCTGAGGCTCTCAGATTTTCTGTGTCTTTTCTGCGTCTTGTATATTGATTGAATAAACCTGCACCCTTCTCTCACTTCTTCTCAAGTGATCTTTTTGGTTTTTCAATTTTGTTTTATTCAGTAGCGCTTGCTTAATTCAAATTTCGTCACTTTCTAGTATCCATCTGCGATGTGAAATAACCCCGGATCTGGTTGGATATGCTCGTCGTGCATGTTTCGGTTCGATTGCCAGCTTCGATTTTCGTATGATCCCGAGAATACTGTGATATATTGGCCCTCGATGTTGGAGCGACTGCTCCCTTCTTCCTTCCTTCCATCACATGAATGGCATGGATATGTGTGTAATGACTAAACCGCACACGGAATGACGATGTTGCAAAGGAAGGGTAGTTGCATGCATAAGGGATAGGATCGATACGCCGACACGGGCCCGTCGACGCGAGAAGTCAAGGTCAGAGCCATTCTCGCTCATGCGCACGCTTGCGTATGACAGCGATCCCGAACAGCAGAGTCGCAACATACGCGCGCGTCTGCATAAGTCGACCTCGATCCCGATTCTCGACTCACCATAAGGGATGTGTGAAATTGAGTCCACGAATCGGCTATAACTGTAGAAACTCCCTTTTGGATCACCGATCGTGAAAGCCTGAGGAACCCGGAATATCGCGAGTATTGGGAGGATGAGCAACTCAGACGACGGGGAAACTTGAGAAATCCGAAATTCCCCTGTCTGATGGAGAACGACCGACTGTGTGCAGGGGACTTTCACTGGGCTATAACTAGCGATCCTAGGATCCCCGGCTATCCTAACACCAATAATACCTAATATTATATCTCTCCGGGTTTCGTCGCTATCAATACCGATTTCCCTCCCTTCTATCTCGTCTTTCCGTATCACCAACTCACAATAGTACCGTGAAATTCCATAGCTCGCTACTGGCCCCGCACGTCGTGCGAGGAGTGTCGGCAATACCAGGCGTACTGAACTTCGGGATTCATCCGACGAACCGGAACCGAAGCCGAGCAGCGAATGCACAGCCTCCGCTTGAGGCCAGCCTCGTCGGATTCCGAAACCTGTTACGAGCGGCGTCGACAACTGTTTAGACAGCGCGACAGCCATAGCGTCCGGCCCGGCCACCAAATACAAGACCGACTGCGGCGACGCAACCAACGAAGATGGTAGTCACATTCCCCGAAGGCTAAAACGCCAGATACGACCTACGTTTACCATCTTGCACAATTGTCCATGAACTTACCACCGGAGATAGACAGCGGAACGCGTCGAGACGCGATCTTATAGTAACTAGGAGCAGATTGGCCGGTCGACAGGCGGCCAACATGCAGGCCCCAAATCCGGGCCCAAAACCAGTCCCTAACCCGGGCCGGAACCCTGCACAACGAGCTCGTGCACCTGCGGTTCCGCCCGATCTTTATCGCTTTGATCTTGAGCATCACCTAGCCGGAGCATGGTTGGCCACTCTGCGCGCACAACAGTTTGACAACGACGAAGCCAGGATAAACATCCCCGCCAGGATGCGGACCACTGGTTCAGCACCTATGTTTGGGTGGATCCCCGACCTTCGAACGGGATTTCTTAAACCGATTCGACTACATACACCCTAAATAGACCCTTTTTATGATCAAAGATCGAGTTCAGAAACCACTCGAATCTCTCATTGAGTACAACAATAGGTTCTACAGGATGTTTGTTAAAACCGAACGAGGAGAGGAAGACAGGAGAGATCTATTTATTGACAGGCTAAGCAGCCGAACAATGAGGGCGAAGTTACGAAAGCATTTTTCCCCGATCACTAACACCATACAGCAGATCATAACCGCTGCAGAGGAGATAGAGTGAAAGTTTGCCGCTAGTTTTCTAGAAGGAGAGGATTACCCGAGAGAAGGGGATTCCTCAGAACTGGCCAGAGCGAAGGCTGAGTTAGCCGCACTTCAAAACAAATTTGAAAATATCGGCTTCGTTTCCGGCCCCGTCACCTATCTAGAACAGATTGTAACCAAGAAACCTGTGTCAGACACAATTACGGGGTTACCTGTACCGGTAATGTTCGCCCCCCGCACCTTTCCCCAACACCTTCACGAAACCAAGCGAATCCAATGCGGTACTGGAACTAACTCAAACATTGGTTAATTTGATGCAAGAAAGCAAGAAGGAACAACGAAAGAACAATGCCTGGATGAAATTGTTGCTGAGATCGATGCGCCCCATTGCTGTTAGGGCCGCACTTGTAGCACAAGGTATCGCACCCGCTCAAGCAATGGGCGGAGCGGCGGCCAATCTGAGTGTATGTTACACGTGTCACCTGCCCGGCCACATAGCTCGAGACTGTCCCCACCGACCCGCAGAGGTCCTGGTTGGAGCTGCCCCCGTGGCCGCGGCACCTGTAGCCAACGGGCTGATAAGGGTAGGCACAATGATAAAAGATATTGCGGAGCAGCAGAGACGCGAAAAGGCGGAAGGGAAGCGGCCGATCGTGGAACCGGAGGTGCCGTACACGCAAGACGATCCCGAGCGAAACCCGGATCTACCCCCCGAGGCGTCGAAAAGGAAATGGAGCCACAGCCGCCGAGGGATCAGGAAGCCGCCGCCGTCGCTGAAGAGATGGATCGTCGAGCCCAGGCGATTGTGAACCGGCTCAATCCCCTCCACGGCTCCGCCTTTGCTTACGTAGAGATGCGGCCTCTCGGGCTTCGTCCCCGGTGGTTATCCTGCTGTCCCCGTGATTTCCTCACGATAGAACAACTTCTGGGTCGGCCCCCATTCCCCGATCGATGGTACCCGTTCCCCCCTTCTCTCTTCCACCATCGCTACTCCACCTGCCTCTTAATCACCGTCTTTCCATATCCCCTCACTTATACCCACGTTGCTTGCTTCCCCCTCCACGTCCTCCTCTTCAGTGTTGCATCGCACGAGTTCAATAACATCGAACTCTATTGTATGATCCCGGGCGCGATCCTCGCCTGCCGCAACTATGAGGAATTTCGCGTCGCAATCCATCGCACCTTTTGCACCCTGTACCCCGACTACCTCGCCTCCCTCCGAGTCCCTCCCTCATCAAGAACGTCGATTCCCCCACAATCACCACACCATCAATTACACGCATATCCCCGAGGACGATCGCGAGCTCTACCACTTCATACCTCCCCTTTCCCAGGTCCAACCACCACCTCCTCCGCCCGTCATTAAATTGCCCTTCCCCAGTAACCTTTAGATGAGGAGCTCACGTATGCCACGTTGAATGACACCCACACTCTTATCTCATGGTGAGTGGCACGTGTAAGCTCTACCTCGATCGTCGGCATCTTCCATGGATCGACGTATGGTAAGTGAGCAAGCAGGAGCTTGCTAAAGATTGGAACCCCCTGGGTGTCACATATGTGCTGAACTGTTTTCTATAACCGCGTGACTTTCTGCGCGAAGCGGCTTTCGAGGGTTGAGACAGGAAGGTGGGGTGAAGTGCATGGGTAAGGGTCAACTGGGCAAATTGCATGAGTACCCTTGCTTCTTTCTTTTTGGCTTTTGGGACCAGGGGCGAGAAAGTCCCACGCAGACGTTTCGGTGACCGCGCCTTAGTGAGCGCGATGAATAACGGTTGCTATAACTTCTTTCTTGTTTTGCTAGGGGAATGCAGTGGGCCTTCATCTGCCCTGGCCCACAGCCAGGGCCTATTTGGCTATTTGCCAGTCCGGCCTGTGGGACCAGGCCGTGGCCTGACCCCACAGGCCGTGCGGTTATTCAGCCCAGTCCAGTCCTGCCCGGTACCACTGTCGGTACCAGGCCAGTCCAGTCCAGTCCAGTCAGTCCGCTGGGGGTATACCCCAGCTGCAGTCTGTTTTGTGGCTCATTCTTCATTTGCACAGATTGGAGTACGTGCGTGTTGAGTCTGCGTTGGAGCTGCGCTGTCCCTTCCAGCTCTATCTCCATCTCCCCCATCGTCATCCCTTCGTCTTGATCCTGACGGACCGTCATCCCAGCGGGTCCGTCACACTGGTATCAGAGCAGGCTTTCCTCCCTGCTCCTCTCCCCCACCCACCCCACCTATCAGTTGCCACGTGGCTTGAGCAAAAAAAA